TGAACCGCTTTGTCAAAGAACTAGACCCTTTTAAGCCAACCAACAACATGTATTGAGGATTTTCTGAAATAACATCTTGCAGATTAATTCACAGCCACACGGTCCAGCTTGTTGTTTTTTTGCATTTCCTTAAAATGCAGCATTATGGAATATTTAAACTAGAATAAGGGAACAAAATCTATCAGAAAATGTATTAGTAGGTACATTACAAAATCAAAATGGCATCTTAAGTGTTATTAAATAGCACGTTAGCATATTTTTCTGCAATTTTCTAATATTACTCATGTTTCATCTATGTCCAAAGTGGCAAACACCACCCACGTTGTACTAAAATGGGCTAAAACACATAACAAGTAAAAGGCTGGGATAGCAATCAAACTAAAGTTTTTGTTTTTTGTTTGTTTTTGGCAATTGAGGCGGTGGATGTGAAGGCTGGAAATGTACAGTGAGACTGCAAAGAGAAGAGAGGGGGAAGATGCAAGTTAAGAGTTAAAAGATACATGTACAGGGATGGAAGGAAATGAGCGAAAGAGAAAAAAGTCAGAAAAATTGATGGAGGAAGATGACAACAGACAGGGACAGGTCTGTCACTGTGTGTGGAACTGATGTGAATGGGATGTGAGTGTCAGTTGACACAGACACAGTATCTCATCTGCAGGGTGACACTGAAACAACGCGGTCACTTTCAATCACCACGGATGCTGTCAGGGGAGCGGGGCACACAAACACACACACACAGTTGAATGAATGCACACACACGGTCTCACACACTCAAAAGTTTGAACACACACCGAGTTGCACACCAGCAGTGAATGATTGCTGGCTCACGGTCAACTACATATGACCTCATATGTGAGTGATCTCCTTCCCCCTCTCTCTGTCTTGTACAAACACGCACACACACACACACACACACACACACACACACACACACACACACATCAGTAATCTTCCTTGGTGCTCATGCTAACATATGCACACTCACATCGCCATACACAGTGGTTTTCTCCTAAATGTATGCTCTCACACACGCACACTGGATTTGGAACTGAACACAATTGGAGACACTGAACAACATTATCATGAATCGGATGATGACTTTGACCCTGAAAAAAACTTTTTTATGAACTCTGAAAATAACTGCA